GGGGGGGGGGGCCGCTTACACCACCTCAAGTTACGTATCCGCTGATCTTGTCTTGGGCTCTGTTCATTCCACCTCGGTTTCAAAAACAAACAGAAAAGTTATCACTGGTTTTCTTAAGCCTATCCTATTCTCAAACCTCAGTCCCTCTGGAGGCCCCTTTCAGGAACACAGGGCTCCAGTGACTCGGTGCACGTTTTCTCTGCAGCGTTTTTAACTTCAGAACGTATCCAGTGAATCTCAAATCCGTGCACACTTCGCTTGCGGCGGACCCGAGTCCCCTCCGGAGGGAGGCGGGAGTGAGGGTCTCTGGTGCAAGCTCCATCCCAAAACCTCTGGGCTTTAAAGTCACTGCCCAGGAGAGACCTTACACCCTCAGGCAATACAGGCAGCTGTAGTTAGAGCACCGGAGAACAGGCTAATATGCAAAACAAGGTTTATCACTTGAACAAAAGCCACTTGGTTTTTTTCCTATGTGCATGTTTACGATAGATGCTCAGCAGCTGGTGGGGCAGTAACTGGCCTTTGTAAAGGAAGAGGCTGGTTAAGGAGAATTCTGGTTGAGCCCACTGCTCCTGAGTGTGGGTGCTGGCTGCTTGTAGCTCCGTGGGTGCCTGAACAAGACCCCCCGATCCCTCCTGCTCCTTCCTCGTGCGTTTGTTCAGTTCCTTGTGACAACAGAGGATCATCTTGCTTGGATGTTTCTCTCCAAGCATAGGCTCTGATACAAAAATGACTATACCTAAAGCTGCATCCTTGTCCTGGTGGAGATCCGGGGTTTGCAGGAGGCTGTCTGCAGGGCTCTGCACGGGGTGAAGCGGGTAGGACACTTGCACGAGGATCCAAGCACAGCCCTGGCCTGTGACCGGGCTCGCAGGGCTTCCTGTGGCAGGTTTGGTGTCAATGGCTTTGCACAGTTGTGAGTTCAGAGAACTTGGCTTGAAGTGTTTTCAACATTGTTCGCTAAAATACAAACGTTGGCCTTGACAGACATTACAGTACTGATTTCCTGAGCTGCTGTGACACTGATGCTGTATCTCAAACTAATGAGTTCCTGGAGTGCAGCTCCATTTCAAGCCCTCAGTCATCTCCATGGCTAGGATAAAATGCTTATATGAAAATACTGCCAAAATAATCTGAAATAAACCAGAATCTAAAAATAGGAAACAGCTAAGAGCCTCATTTATGAACAGCTTATTCTCCAAGGAACCTACAATCTGGTTAAGATCAGCACAGGGAGAAAAATCCACTGGACATCTAGACAGCATTGAATAGACAAGAAAAAAAATACAGCTGTCCTGGGTCAAGCTAGAAGTCTGTTAGTCCAAACGCCTGCGGGCAGATGCCGAGGGAAGCAGATAACAGGCAAACACATGGAGATGCTTCCTTGGAGGTGCAAGCTGAGCTTCTGGTTGACTTTCTGATGGGTCTGGCAGCTTCTGTGGCTGTAGAAGGACCCTAACGCTCTGTGAATGCCACGTCTTCTTACACGGGTTCGCAAAAACACCACGGGGCAGAAGTAAACCCCAGGAAAAAAAAACAAACCTATCCTGGGTTGCAGTGTCCTGTGTCAGAGCTCTACAGCTAACGTGTGCTGTGTTCAGAAATCCTCCTGCTTGCTCCGAGCCGAGTCCCAGCGGAGCCTGCGAGCAGGGAAGGAGTTGGCCAGGGGTTTTTGGAGCGAAATAGCCTGGCTGAAACTATTGAAGAGCAACTGGCAAATGCTGATTTACTCTGACAACACAACAAAAGGCTTAATTCAGGCTGCCAGTTCCACTTAAAAGTAAAAAGTGGTTTGGAGCCCCTCGAACACCTACAGGTTCCCGTTTCGGGGGTGTTGGCGGCTGTAGCCGCGCAGGGCGCGGCGCAGCAGGTCCGTGTTACACCGGGTGCTTCTTGGTGGCTGTTTTACTGGTCTCAGTCCTGCCAGCAGCCCCCGTGCCATCCCCAAGGGGCTTCGGTGGTAAGACTAAATCTTCTTCAAATTCCCTACAAAAATAGAACTGGAGAAGGGGACACGTGCGTGCCTCCCTTTCTAAACGGCTGCCTGTTTCAGGATGGCCTGCAGTGGTCAGGGGGGGGCTTGTGGCCACCTGCTCTGTGGCGACCACCTCTTGGTGTCTGGAGAAGCGTACCTGGTTCGTTAGTGTCTGATTGCTGCTGTGCACCAGCGTAAGCTGTGTGTGAGGGCAGGGGGAGGACAGAGCTGTGATCACCTTGCCTGGATCTTCTGAGTGGGGTGGGATGGAGCAGAGACCCACTGCCCGAGACGGGGGATTACAGCTGTGTAAAGCAACGCTAAACAGAATCAAAGCACCATCATGCTCTAAATGCGGTGAAACACGGATAACCGAGTCAGACCTGCTGTATTTTCTCACTTGATAAACCATGTTGTTGGTTAGTGCGGAGTTAGCAGATGCTCCGAGTGACTGAAGGGGAAATTAAAGGGCAAGCACATAGCTATTAAGACTTTAAACAGACACGTTTAAAATGATGCCTTGCATCATTTTATATGACTGCAAAAATTAAAAAAAAAAAAAAACAAACCCAAAAACATTTGGGCTGATGTAAATGAAATGGTAATTTCTCAAGTAACATTTATGGGCTGCAGGATTGGTCCTATGGCTGCTCACAAACAGTACCTGGACCTGTCACTAGTTCCTCGGGAAAGAACTTACGGGTTCTGTCAGGATCTGGCAGTCCTACACAACCAGAAGGAAAGAGCTGTGGAGACTTAGCGAGCTGCGTGATATTCCAGGCAGGGCCAGAAGGAGACGAGTCATTGGAATGACAGTCAGGAAAAACTGATGTCAAATGTAGCCTCTCCACGGGAAGCGTTTAGGGTGACCGCTCTCATCTTCTAGTTACACAGTTGGCCAGAAGAGGATTCTGTGTGCTCTGTGGGGATTGACTCTCGCAGCATGATTTAAGGCCCGCAAGCCAAAGGACCGCGAAGCGTTTCTCTGGAAAGAGGGTATTGCGTTATTCCAAGCAAAAGATAAATCTGAAGAGAGGACTTGGCCACACGCTGACTGGGGTTGACAGAAATCTCTTATTTAGAGCGTTGTTAGAGGATGGCCCTTGGAGGATTGGGGCTGACCTGTGAGCCCTGGCTCTGACGTCCAACCTCTGGTAGATGCCTGCTAGGCAAAACACGTCTTGCTCGGAAATAACTATTCCCTTTATCTGCTGCTTATTCCAAGAAAAAGGGACTTTTTTTAAGAACTGAGCATCCTATTAAGTAACCCTTTTATTTTTCCTGGCCTAGATTAACCCTGGCAGTAAAGCAGCCATGGCAAACTTGTGCCCAGGAGATATTATTCTGGCAATTAATGGAGAGAGCACGGAGAACATGACACACCTAGAAGCACAAAACAAGATCAAAGCATGCATGGACCAGCTACTGCTCTCCGTGAACAGGTAGGTCCTCTTCTGTTTGATGTGCTCGTGTCAGCTTAGCTTGGCTCCTCTGCGGAAGGTTTGTGGTTGCCCCAGAGCAGATGTGCCCTTAGGCTCAGTACTTGGGGCGTCTCCGTGGTCTGTGTAATTGTTCTGCATTTTTAAAAACAGTAAAACATTTTTTTTTGTTTTTAAAGATCACCGATACAAAAAATAGGTTCAGCTCATTTGTATGTGTTGATTGTCATTTGTACCTTGCAAGGCTTGTCCAGGCTGTGAGCTGGGTCGGATCCTTCAACCCGGCGGAGGTTTTATTGACTCACTCAAGAGTAGTACTGGGATTGAAATCTCCTTTGGGCAAAGCATCCCCCTTCATTAACATCCATCTGTGATGTTTTTCCTAAACATCTGTTCAACGAATATACATTTGAAGGTCACTTTTTTAGAATATTTCAAAGCAAAATGTAGACTTGGGTTGGGTTTTTTTTTGCTTTCCATTGGAATTAAGTCTGTGGTTAACGGTTCCTAATACAAATCACAAATTATCCAGGCAAAATGAGTGCTCCTTATAAGGCTCACAAATGGCTAATGTTATCTGTAATAGATTTAAATAAGTGTATACAATTTTCCACTTCAGATTAAAAAGGCATTTCCTGCTATAAAGAGCTATCACTTACTGTTTGTACTCGTCTTGGAAAACATGCGATTTCTGTCTGGAAGCCTGGTCGGTGGGGAAGGAGTGCTGCCGTAAACGGAGCAAAGCCGTTTGCCAAATGGGTTCCTCATGGTTCATCAGACACTGGTGTCTGAGGTGAACGGCTGAAGCAGAGCCCCCTGAGCCTGGCCCGTGCCACAGGGATGATGTGGCTTCAGCATTAGGAAAGAAAGAAAAAAAAAAAAAAAAAAAAAAAAAAAAAAAAATTTGCTTCCCATTTGGAACACGTTTAGGGAGAGTGGATGGTCTTCTACCCCAAACAGGGGCTGTACTCGGGGCAGGACGAGGGTTCCCCTCCTGGCCGTCCACAGGCTGGTGGAGCTCTCCTTGGAAGAGCTGGAAATCCTCATGTAGTGACGGAAGGTTCTGGGGGAGCTGCCAGCTGCTGAGGTGGTTTGGCAGCAGAACAACTTTGTCAGGAGTTGGGATAAAGCTTTGCTGAAAACAACTTTCACCTGCAGCATGGCAGCGTTTTATTCTCATGTATGAGGGTTTCTGCTGTGTGAATTTATGGGCTGAATTCCCACTTTAGCCACCGGTATCACTTGGCGTTTCTGCTGGTGTCCACCCCGTCCCCGTGGTTAGGAAGACGTGCTTGAATCTTGCTGGTGGTAGCTGTGACCGTCCTGGTGGTGGCAGCTGCTACGTTGGGTGTCCGCAGTGTTTCTGTGGAAGCGCATCTCCTCTCCAAAGAGGCGACTCCTTGCATGGACGTGGGGGTTGTGTCGCACAGGTACAGCTCCGCTCCATCACGAGAGGAGTGGGCAGAGGTCTCCACCAGTGCCTTGGTGGGGTTAATTCAGAGATGCAGAAATGTTCATTAACGACCTCGTGGTGGCCTGGAAGCTGCTGTGTGGGAGACTTCTGGCAGCAGGAGGGTTCAGGTTGGGTTTGCCCAGCTACACCTACCAAGGTGGATATTTATATCTTTAACTGTGAGACCTTGCAGCGTGCCCCGGGGAGAAGTGGATTCTCTATAGCAGATGTTGCTGGTGATGGCCCACAGCCTTGTGGTTTGTGGGAGAGGTGGCCTGGGCTTTACTAGGCAGGAAGGTAGGCAAAAGGATTGTGATGGCTTTGTCGGGCCTGAAGGTCTTCATAAGTGCAGGTTTTAAAGGCACTCACAGGCGAAATTAAATGCTCAGGCTTCTGCTGGAGAGGAACAGACGAGAGCTGGTGATGGTGAGGAACTGCTCAGCATGGGGTGGCTCCTCTCAGGGCAGAGATCACGCTGTTGGGTCAGTTGGGTGGCTCCTCCAAGAGCGAAACGTACCTTGGCTGTGCCTAGAGAAGCCTGTGGGAGTGGCTTTTCTCTTGACAGGAAAAACTGAATAGCTTTTTTTTTTTTTTTTCCCTACAGTAAGGACAGCAGCTCCAGTCATGCTTTATTAGGTCTATTTTTGGTTTGGCCCAAAATTAGTGCTCAGTGACATGGCTCTTGGATCTCTCTCCTGTTTCCCAGGTGACCTGTTGGGTCCAGATGACCCTGCCCAGCCGTTAGTCACGGCTGGAAGCACGTCCAGCGCTCCCTCCTCGCCGTGAGCAGATCCCTGCGCCGGGACCTGCCCCCAGGAGAGCGGGGTGACCTGCTGCTGGCGAGGGCGCCACGTCCTGGGGCAGTGACAGGGGGTTTGTTGGCCTCTCTGTGTGTGTGTGTGTGTGTGTCCAGCAGCTGCTGTTTGCCATGGCCCTGGGCTCCGTTATGAGGCTGAGCTCCAGGGAAACCCCACATGTGGAGGCCTGGTTTAGTATCTTCTTCCTCGGGCAGAAGGATGCTCTCCAAGCCATGTGCCCTCTGTATGCTGCCCTCAACAAAATATAGTTTGAAAATCAGCATAAGAAGTGGTTTTATTCTTTTAAATAAGTGTGTTTGTGTGAAATATATTCAAAATAATGAGCTTGCTTGTTTTATGTCTTTAGTGAAGACATATGAAATTTGACGTTATTTCTGTTTTACTTTCTCCAGCCGCGCTTGTGCACTGAGGGAGGGCAGGGAGCTGGGCAGCGAAGGGCTTCCAGCCCTCTGGTGCTCTCTGGACTTCTTCCATCCCATGCCCTTTCTCTGTGAACCCTTGACATTATGTGTCACCAAGACAGAGAACAAAATTGGTTTTGTTTCCAAACTGCAGTCAGTAAATGCCCTTTGACTAGAAAGTTCAGTAGGAAAATCAGAATGAGGAGAAAACATGTGGGGGAAGACAAGAAGGGGGAGTTGCTGTGTGGTCTGACAGGATGTCCTGAGACCGACGTGGCCTCTCTGGGTTTCGGGGGTGCTGGGGATGCTGAGCGCCCACGGAATTTGATGGGAGGAGATGCTGATTATTCTGTTTATCAAATTTACTTCATGAAGACATTTGGATACTCTGGTGGGGAAGCAAGTAAAAGAGCCAGGAGGGCTGACTGTTTGCGGGCAGAATAAACAATTAGAGCGTAAAACTTTCCCACGCGGCGCAGGCAGTGCCTCTCCCCTGTACTTGGGAGGCAACAACTGAAGTGAGTGGGATTTCTGTTGTGTCGCAAACTTTTGGCCACAGGCAGGCATGACCGTGTGGCCGGACCACAAATAGATCAGTGCCTCTGTTGTGAGCACAGCCTGTCATTAGGAACGCCACGCTGGGTTTGATGGTTTTTCTCCTCCCCGGCTGCACGGCAGAATCTGTTCATCCAGTCAGTCTGGAAGGAGAAAAACTGAGAGGTTCTGATCAAATGCAAACGTGTAATTTCCAAAGGCTGTAACACGCTCCCCGTGGCTCTGCCGGCCGGAGGACTGTGCCAGCTGCTGGGAAGCACATCTGCTCTGGCTTTGCTCACTGGGAGCTGCCCTGAGCTCTGGAGGGAGCTGGCGGCGGTGGCCGGTGGCATCGGGACCCCTGGGGAAATCAAGTTCTGAGGCAGCAGGAAAGATCCGTGGTGCAGACGGCATGGCTGTGTGGGCAGAAAGGAACCACATCATTTCCTAGTGTACCTGGCACCGTTGTATGACAGCTCCTGGGAAACTGGAGGAATGTTTGTTTTCTCTCCTTGGGACGCTCCAGTTTCCCTGGACTGGTTACGAATCCTGCAGGGCTGGGGGTGCAGCGCTGAGGAGGGAACTCTACAAATACGGGCTGTTGGATTGCAAAGAAAAGCAGAGCTCAGGGCAGCTCTGCAGCTGATCTTTCGCATAATTTTTGGGAAGGCTGAGGGAGACTGTGTCTGGAGGGGACCAGAATGCGCAGCCTGGTGAGAAGCTGGCAGGGAGAGCCTGGGCAGTGGTCACCTCGGATGGAAAAGCTGTTTTTCTTTCTAACAGTAACAAAGGATTCAGCAACACAGGTTCGATAAACCTCATCTGGATTGTCTGCAGTGATGTGTCTTCCTGTGAACGAGTACTTGCACATTAAAACCAGTATTATTTCTTCCAGTCAACCCTTTCTGGAAGACAGTCGGTGCCCAGGCAAGTGCACACAAGCAACTTGGGCCCCAGAGATAGCCAGCTCAGCAGCACAACTTGCCCTGTTCTTGCTTACACGTTGCTGTGTATTTCCTTATCTCTTTTAAAGAAATCCTTCCCAGCAGCTTTGATCGTTAACATCTCTCGTGGTTATGCTGCAGCGCCGGTTGTTAGGGATGACTTGTTACTTCAAATCGTGTCATGCCTCAAAGAAAAGCAGCCATAAAATTGGGTTGGAGCTGTGCTTTGCTGAAACCACCGCTTGAGAACGGAGGGTTGAGCGCCCAAAGGACCTCGGGCACTGGACAGGAGACCTTGTGGCATCACCGATGCTGTTCCTGCTGACGCACACGGCTGGGAAGTCCTTGCAGCACTGTCCAGACCTGCCCGTCTGTGCCAGAGGGGGAAGGCGAGCCCAGAAGCTTTCTTTGAAGCTTTTGTCATCTGCCAGCTGGGACAGTGAAAGCTTGTGCTGCATCTTTCCTGGAGGAGTTGGCCCCAAGCCCACAGTGGGGAAACTGCTGGGAAGGGGATGTTACGGCTTTTCAAGGGGCTGTGGCTCTCCTGTGTCCTCTGCAGCCCAGAGTCAGTGTTGGTGTCTGAGGCTGCCCCCGCTCTCAGGCTGGACTAACGCATTTCTTTTTCCTAAATTCTCTACTCTGTCCTTTATCAGGGACTTTAAGTGCTCTTGGGGTGGCTCTTCCTCCTTTGCACCCCCATTCTCTAACACCTTCCTTGACTAGCCCCTGTTCCCCACGAAGTGTTTTGTCCAGCTTCATCGGGTCGTGCTTTGCCCCGAGATGTGCAGGGCTGTTTCTAGGCAGCGTTGCTCTGGAAAGCAAAGCAGCACAGTAGCTTTACTGTTCCCAAACGGAGTGGAGGAAAATCCTCATCAGCTCACAAAAAGAGTCGATATAAGTAACCGATGCTCGTGTGGGTGCTGATGTAACGTGCGAGGAATTACCTCGACATCCCTGTAACGAGGGGTGGGCGTTCAGGTCGTGGTTAATGGCTCTGAAATGCAAGGCCAGGAGTTCAAAGTGGGCTTAGTAAGGCTGGAGCAGCGCCTGGCACCTGGGCTGCGGGGGGAGGCGGTGATGGTGCTGATGAAGACTCCGCGGGGCGGTTCGGCGTGCCCTGATGATAAATCAGCCCCTTCCAGTGTTGTTTTCCCAGCTGTTGAGTCCCAAGCCAAGGGAGCACGGGGTCTGCTCCGCCTGCCCTACCAGTACCTGCACAGGAGGGTAAGGGCGGGTATGTGGCAGCTGGTTGGAGAAGATCCCAGGTGTTAAACAGCCCTGTGAATTATTACTCCCAGAAATGTGGTATGGAGAGCTTGGTATTTAGCCACCAAATGTATGCATTTGACTGGCGGCCAAGGATTTCAGAGTTTTAAATAATTTAAATGTGTGGATAAGGATGATCACATGGTAGAACTTGTTCTCTTTCTTTTTTTTTTTTCTCACTCTGAAGTTGTCTCTAAGTTACACAGATGAAGAAATTCCTTATCAGGCAAGAAGCTTTCTGGCTCCTCCGCCCTGGGAGTAACATGGCCATATTTCTGTGATGTGCAGGAAGGAATTCATGTGTGTTGTGAGACTTTTTTTTGGGGGGGAAAAAAAAAAAAATTATGCTGTTCTGCCCAGTCCAATCCAGTCACAGCTGTTTCTTTCGGGGCTGTTTGTGCATGGAACCAGGTGGGTGCTTGAGGCTTGCCTGGCCCCAGGTGCAGCCAGGGACCCTGGGGTGGTTGCGTTGTGTTTATTTCCTGACTGTAGTGTCAAAGTATAAATCCTCAAAGGTTCAGCTTTGGTTCTTTCTGTCTAAAATAAATCCTGGAAGCAGTTTCTTCTCCCCTCGTCTGATGGGTGTGTGCTGCAGGAGCGGCTCTGCTGAGCCCTTGCCTGTGGAGGGAAGGTATTTGGAGATGGTAACTCTTCTTTTTAAAGAGCAGCGGTGGAGAAACCCCCTGTCCGTCTCTGGGGGCTGTTTTGCTCTGTGCAACCCTGGCAGAGCACAGGACGGGAGGCCAGGGCGAAAGCAAGGTGGTGTGTGTGGGCTAGGAAACCCCAAATTGTTCTAGGGACGGTGATGGCGTGCAGCGTTGCCCTCGCACTGCGGGTTGGGTTTGCTCTCGTTTCCTTGAGGCTGAGTGACCACGAGGCTCGTGGCCAGGAGCTGTGCCCTGCCCTGGGGTGGATAACCTTGGGGTGACTTCCCAGGGCACGAGCAGCCTGTGGAGAGCCCCCGCAGACCCGTGCGCCGTTACGCTTCTGCTCTGAGTCAGCTCAAAGAACTGAAGATTTTTCTATTTATTGATGCTCTCTGTACAGAGACAGAGCTTCTCTGGAAGTTTCTATGTGAAAAAGCCCGGTAATGAGTTTACTGGATGTGTAGCCCCAAAAGTCCCTGGAACATCCCATAACTGATGTTCTTCCGAGCCCTCCTCCCGCCTCCCCCAGCTCGTGGAGCTGTTGTTGGGCTCTGTTTGCTGCTGGAGGATGGGAAGGATGACAGTGTATGATGTTCTCAAGTTTCCAGTCAAAGTACAACTGAAAAAGTGAATCACAGCTTCCCCTCCAGAACTCCTCAAGGACTAACAGAGAGGAAAACCGGCAGCTTTCCAGAGCCCCGATACACAACGATGGTTTCAGCCGAGAGGAACCAACAAGGAGAAATCCCACAACTTTTCCTTTGCGTACCCAGGACGAGGCGGGTCCGTCGGGGCGCTCAGCAGAGCTCAGCTCCTGTGCCTGTTCACCAGCCTGTGCAAACGTGGACGGGACTGTAGAGATTGGGGAAAAATAGAGCGATTTGGTGGTTCTGGAGGTTTGTGTAGCTGTCGCCCGCTCACACCTGCGCGGCTGCACAACAGCAGACAGCGGCGGCCCAAGTCCGGTCTGGCACTTTCCCAAGTGCTAAATGTTAGTTTATAAGGGGAGAGAGAAATTAGAAATTCAATAAGACCCAGGAATTCTTGCAATTTAGAAGCAGCTCTACAAATGTAGAGGGCAAGACTTGCAGATCATTACCAGGTGAAAAAACATTTTGGTAGAATATGTGAGCATGTGCAAGTAATCTTTTGAGAATGACATTGAGTCTTTTAGAAAACAAATGGTGGGATAAAAGGTGTCTGCAACTTTGTTTTTTTATTTTAGTTATGTCTTGTTAATGGATCTGTTTCCCACGAAGCCCCATGTTGAAGGCCTAGCACTAACCTGGGTCAAGTTATTTTTTTTTTTTAGGATTGTCCCAGCAGCCATTAAAATAGAGCAGAGCGTTGTTAGTGCCGGGTAATGATTTCCACATAGCTGACTTTAATCCCCTACAACACATCTGAAAACACTTTCCCTGTCCTCGAGCTGTAAATTAAACGACTCGGAACATTTGAGTGCGACGTCTGATCTCTCACCCATTACGTTAGAAAAGCGTGATTCGTTTTTGCTGTTGCCCAAACACAAAGCTCTGACTGTTGGTTGCATGAACCTGCTGCCAGGGTGGCTTGGGGGTGCCCGTGCTGACCCCAAGGTCCTGCTGATCCAGGGCTTGCTCGGCTCCCCTGTCCTGGGGGGCTGCCGGGGAGGGGGCAGGGGGTGTTCCTGCAGCTGGGAGTTGGGTGTGAGCTCGGAGCATCAGCCCCTTTGGCAGTAGCTGCCCGCGGCATCATCCTCTGACAGACTCACCTCTTAATTATTTCAGATTACCTCGTATTCTGCTGCTCCTGGGGAAAAGAGGGAGTCTGCTGTAAGCGTAAACACTTACCACATGACTTGCATTTCTGTTTGAGGCTCGTGTTTCTCCCAGCCCCCTTTGCTTTGCCTTTAAAAGTGCCAAATAGAACCAAAATTGTGCCGTATCAGCTTAATTTCAGAGTCGTCCAAGTGGAAGCTGTGCCTGAGGTGAGGCTGGCTTTGTTCAGGGCTGCCTTGCTTATACCAAGAACTTTTGAACGCTCTAAAGAACGGATGGTGAAGCCCTGAGTTTAGTCATTAAAAGCACAAACTATGAAGAGGCTTTCTACATGCAGACTGAAGCCTGGTCGTGGCTTGCGTTGAGACACCTAGAATGATGTTTGAAAACGCAAGGTTAGCTGCTTTCTGGTACAGGCAGCGTGTTCTTTGGTCATCAGGGTATGGGGGACTGGGAAACGCTACTAGACAATGTTGGTAGTACTGGTGACTGGATGCGGTAGCTTCACGCAGAGCCAATTTTGCTGCTATTGTTCTTATCTTCTGCAATCTTTCTGAATCTTGGTTCTTTTTTAGTGGCAAATTGAAGTCTTCAGGGATCCTTCAGGCCGTGTTTGGCATGTGGGCTCCAGAGCTGAGCAACGGGGAATGTCGTAACTGCCCCCTCTCAGCGGCACACATCAGGCTAATTCAACGTAGGGAATAAAGCACGGAAATTATAATGGTGATCTCTGCCAATGTAATTAGGCATTTTCATTGTTCTGGGCCTCCGGATGAAATTCTCAATGTGGAAGCAATATACACAGCACTGGATCGTGGCAAAAAGCGAGCTGGGATCGCTAGGAATGCTGCTGTTCTGGGAAGGACGGTTTGTCCCACCAAAACCAGTCGGAAAGACCCACTTAAAGTGAATTGTCCCAGCCTAAAATTAAGTAATTACAGTAAAGATAATTTATCAGAATAAGACATCTAGCTACGAGAAAGAACATGTATTTCCTGGTTGAAAAAAGCTGTGATGGGAGTACTGAGTAGTGGTTTGAAACGAGAGAGGGAAAAAAAAAAAAAAAAAAAAAAAAAAAAAA